AGATAAGCCAGTAATGGCAAGAAAATGACACCATTCTGAGGTCACTGGATTTAGAGAAGCTCTTCTAATCTTTCTCTAATATTCTTAGGAGGTATTTACTGATCTATGGCTACAGTCTAAAGGCATACCTCAGAGATACTGCAGGTTTGGTTCCAGACCACCGCAATAAAGTGGATATGGCAATAAAGCAAGTTGTAATCTTTTCGTTGGTGGAGGGTCTTGCCTTCAATTTGGGAAAGAAAAAAAAAAAACTGTGAAGTGCAATAAAGAGAAGCACAATGAAACAAGGCATGCTTGTATATTCCATGCAATGGGATTTATAATGGACTTTTCCCTTGAGTTTAATATCATGCCGTTTTGATCTTTCCTGATAAATCTACTGGTGAAACATTGGCTTACATACAGAATTTCATGATTGCTTTTAGTTCTTGGTCAATTAATAGCTACAGACCATCATCTCACCTGACACTGTCGTTGAAATGTCCAACACTGATGTCAGAGATGAAATCTCTTGATCACTATGTTTTTATAGCATCTATGACCTTGTTTCTGAAATATTGAGATTAAAATATTGCATTTATGTGATAGAGATTAAATTGAGAAACGTTAGCTGGGATATACTAGAAACACTTAGATCTCAGAAGCAATCATTGTTGCTTTGGGGCAACTCATGATCTGTTTCTTACTTTCTTCTCTCACTTTCTCTTGCTAGATGTAATTCAGAGTTTACACTTAAAAAAAATCCCACTATGGAGTTCAGAGGACTGCACATTCAAAAGTAAGAGAAATAACCATGAGTCCCACCAGGACTAGGCACAAAAGTTGTTTATATTGAAGGCCCTCTTAAAAAACTATAACAAGCAAATACTTTTAGGTTCTTAAATGACCTAAAAGACATTGCTGAAATGTCATTTTGGGTTATAGATGTAAAAATCTGGGGCAGTTAAAGAGGAAGAAAATCACTTTACTTTCTCGAACATTAAATCTGGATTCAGTTGAAATAAATTGTTTGTTCCAGTTTGAGAAATAGGTCCATGACTCCCTTCTGGGTTAGCATGCAATCTTTCAGAGAAATGTGGGTACTTGATATGTCTGATTGTGCTGAAACTTGTAACTTGCGATGAGGGAAGATGTTTAGTCAGTGAAACCTCACCTTAGAGCCGTTTTAGTGTCTCTTCAGACAAGGCACGTGAAAATATCAAGCAACTTTAGCACAGAGTTTGAAACAATTTGCTTCTCTAGAAAAACAAAATTTCAGTTATACGTCATTTCCTACATAGCTTATCCAGAGAGCAGCCTCCCAAGGACTAGGCATTCTGGTGTTTTTATCTCACACAGAAATGGAGTTCACATGTGAATACTGCATGTGGAATTTTTTTTTTCAGTTGTAGTAATTGCATAGAATCACTCATCTTGTTTGTTTGTTTGTTTGTTTGTTTATTTGTTAGGCAAGGCAACCCTTGGTTGATCTGACAGATTGCAAGAACTTTGTCAGCTTATAACCCCTTATTTATTTATTTTTAACACCTGCAGCACCTGGTCTTCCTAGATGGTCTCCCATCCAAATACTAACCAGGCCTGACCCTGCTTAGCTTCCGAGATCAGATGGGATCGGGCTTGTTCAGGGTGGCATGCCTGTAGACTCATCTTGTTCATTTTAATTATTTCATGAATGCTAGCATTTGTGATGTTGGTTTTCATCTCAGTCATATTTAATTCTAATAACATGAGGAAAATTGCATTGTACAATGTATATTTGTCATACAAACAATCACTACGTCAGACAAGTACTCTCAAAGAACCACCTTCCAATCATGCGGAGCAAACAAAAAGGGAGTCAGGAGATGAACCATAAACTTATTTAAAATCTAAGGAATGAATTACTGGGTGTATAGAGAAGAGACTTGGTATATATACTTCAATGGTAAATAGGTTTTTCTGTCTCACTATTTAATTAAGTCCTGGAAACAGGGTACCCTATATTGCCATGATTAGAGATTGATTTTGTTAATCCTAAATACCAGACTTCTGAGATCAATAAACACGTTCTTTAGAAAGGCCAGGCTCTGCAGTAACCGATACGTTTCTGTTACTCATTCTATACCACATTTTATAGGAGCCTCAAACTACTGGCAGATCACTTCACCAGGCCGAGCAACGTGGCAAGTGGCTGGGAGGTTTGACTGTGGGAAAGTCAGAGTTTGCAGGGAGATGATACCTTAAGAAGTCAGTGTCTCAACTGAGCTCAGCAGAAAAAAAAAAAAAAGCACTCGTACCCTCCTAGTGTAAATCCTAGAACTTTTCAGAGCACATAAATGTTTATAAATGAGGTTAATAATACATAATGTTAATAATGTTCCTAACAATGGCAAGAAATGCTTATACAGTATTTATTATTTAGTCCCTATGAGTTTTTTAAATGTATATATGTATTTTTATTTTGCTATAATACATATAACATAACATTTATCATTTTAATCATTTTATGTGTACAGTTCAGTGACATTAAGTATATTCACATTGTTGTTGCAACCATCAGGACCATCCATCTCCAGAATCATTTTCATCTTCTCAAACTGAAAATGCTATTTATCTTCCCTTTCCCCTGTCCTCAGCAACCACCATTCTACTTTATATCTTTATGAATTTGATTATTTTAGATACCTCATGTAAGTGGAATCATACAGTATTTGTCCTTTTGTGTCTGACTGTTTCACTTTGCATAATATTGTCAAAAGTTATCCATGTTGTAGCATGTGTCAGATTTTCCTTCCTTTTTAAGGATGAATAATATTCCATTACCTGTATATACCACACTTTGTTTATCCATTCAGCCACTCATGGACATTTGGGTTATTTCCGCCTTCTATGCTTTTCATATACTATTTTAATCCTCATAATGTCTCAGTGATATGGTATCTTTGTTATCCCCATTTTGTGATAAGAAAACTGAAGCTCTGATACCAGTATTCTACCCCAGGCTGAGCAGGCCCGCAGTCCTTGCTCTTAACCACTCTCTTCCACTGTCCTTCCAAATGATTTAAGAATCTTAATAAAGCATGTACCAGTTAGCCAATCCATGATACAGCACTCTGGGGCCAGGTTTCTGACTTAACTTGTACCAGTTTTAAAACTTCCAAGAAGTAATTAATTTGGCAACTGAGCCCCATAGCAACTGATTTATAAAGAATCCTGTTGCCGCAAAGCAAATAGTTTTTGGGGGATAAGAAGATGTTCTTTTCTTTTTCAGGGCCCCTCCTGCTTGGATGATAGAACCCTGCATATAACTCTGTAGGGCATGAGAAAGTAATTTAAAAATGATAAGAGCTATTATTTGTGAGCCTGCTGTATGCTGGTCACTTTACTTACATCCTCTCAAGTTTTCACAATGCTTTGTGAGGTTACCCTCCTGTCGCTACCTGTCCCATGCTCTCCAAGTAGCCCACACTGTCTGCACTCTCTTCAGAGAGAAAACTGGAAATGAAATTGTCATATTGGCTAACAGGCACATTTTCTAAATAGTTTTGGAATTTTAACATTTGTCATATGAATATCTTTAATTGATATGAAAAGATGCCACCTTTAATGTTTGGATATCACATTTGGTTTATTCAGTAAAATAATTTGGGCCCAGTTTTCATTAGCTTCTTGTAGAGCAGTTGCTATAGACCGAATTGTCCCCTCCCCATACGTATACTGAAGCCTTAACCCCTAATATATTTGGAGATAGGGCCTTTGGTAGGTAATTAGGTTTAGATGAGGTCATGAAGATGGGGCCCTCATGATGGGATTAGTACCCTTATCAGAAGAGACTCCAATAAGCTTGCTCACTCTCCATTCTGGTAGATGGTGGAGGTCATCTGATAGATGGTGGAGCACACAGTGAGAAGGAGCCATCTCTAACCTGAGGAGAGACCTCTCACCAGAACCTGACTATGCTGCACCTTGATCTCAGATTTAATCTCCTAGAACTATCAGAAAATTAATTTCTGTTGTTTAAGCCACTCAGGTATTTTGTTATTACAGCCCAGCAGACATACATATATATGTGTTATATATGTATATGACATATTCTCAATTTATAATAATGTAATTATAGGCAACATTTATTAGTGCTTTACTCCGGAATTAGTCCTAGGCTAAGTTCATTTAGCTAACCCTGTGTGCGTGTTTGTGTATGCATGTGTGTGCATGTGTACTACATAGTGATAATAGCTTCATTTCGTAGAGAGAGATTGAAGTGAAAGGAGGTGGTAAGTTAATTGCTGAAGGACATACAGTAAAAAGCAGAATCCATATCCAAACCAGACACTTTCTAACTCCAGAGCCTGTTCATTTACTGTGGCACAAATTTTATCTTTGACTTTTCTGTATAAGAAATGTGAAGCACAACATTGAGGCCTGGATGTAACGATTCTCCTTATGGTAAATGCTGATTTCACTAGGAAGCCTGTCAATAACAAGCATGTTTATCTGTCTAAAGTCAGTCAGCACTCTACTAAAGTTACTTTGTGCAATTATTCTGATTAACAAATCCGAAAACGGGGAATAACATTGCCTCATTACAGAAAACTCATTGCATAAAATGTCATTTGGGAAAGCAGTGCTGGTATGCACACGTCAGTCTCCTCAGAGCAGAACATCTCCGAGAGCAGCTTGTCTCTTCACAAAGAGAGGAAGACTCGGTACATGAACTCTGGGCAAAATTGTGACTTCATTGCAATTTATCTTCCACTAACCCAGATTCCTATTTTGGGCTCCTTTTTCCATTCGCTCTATTAATACAATCCTTCGCCCCCTTCATTTATGGCCCAGGGTCTTTAAACTCAAATATACCTCTCCCCCAACATATATACGTTGTTAAATTAGAAAGACTCCGATGTATGCTTTCATCCCCAGAAAGATCACCATGTACAGACGTACATACCACCCACATTTGAGGACACAAGTTTCAGGGCGCACTGGGGACATGATACTGACCATCCTCTCATTTCTTATAGAGCTCCAGGACAACACGCTCTGAGGAGGACAGGGACATTCTGTGGGATGCCTGGGGCCCATGGAGCGAGTGTTCACGCACCTGTGGTGGAGGCGCCTCCTACTCACTAAGACGCTGTCTCAGCAGCAAGTAAGTACCCAGAGCTGGGCTTTCGTAAGGCGCAGAGGTAGCAGGTTCGAGGCAGACTCTTGTGGTTGGAGTTATGCAGAGTATTTTGTTGCACACAAATCTGGATGAAGGAATGAAAGGATGGTACAAAGAATTAAATTTGTTCATCTTTAGCTAGGTATTTGCATACTCATATGATAAGCAATATAGAATTTCATTTACGAAGCAAATTTTTATGTATTTTCATGTTAGAACTAGAAGAATTTATTAATAAAAATGGATCTAGTACTTTTAGCTCCATAATATATTTTACTTTTTGCACCACCGAACAATTATGGTGACAATAACAGCAAAAATATTAACATTAATAGCATATTAAGCTTATGTTTGATTCCAGTGTTACCACGTCCTCTGCAAATGAATGGATATCCCCACTGCCTTAGAAATAATGGCCAGAAGTTCCCTGAGGTCATTCAGTTCAATGAAGGATGAGTTTTGACTGTACGAAAATTTGGAAGAACAGAAATGCAGAGGGAATTGGGGCAGGAATAGTGAGAGGGATGATGAAGGTGGAAATGAGAGTGGTTAATGGTTTCTAAATTGAAAAGGCCTAAAGTGTTAAAATCAAAAGTTTTTACTTAGAATAATAATAATTCATAACTGTTTCTTGAGCTTTCTGTTTCATAACTAGATTTTTCTCCAAACTATACAATATAAAGTACCATGGTAATATTTTTCAATGAAAGGTTTTATTTGACAGTAAAAAGTGTTATATGTGACAAGAGGTTTGATCAAAATTACTATATATTATAAAACATGAAACAGGAGAAGGAAGAAATATACATGTGCTGATTCTCCTAGACTTTTCATAAACAAAAAGCAGAAAGTGGTAAGATGGCTCAGGAAAATGTCAATTTATTCTAATAAGAGTGAGAATCTCTCAAAATCAGAGTCTAAGTCTTATTCCTTTCTATATCCCCCAAACCTGCACAGGGACTGACAGATATTCGAAACTCAATAGGTGTTTCTTCATTGAATCCATTGATAACTACAGACCGTTTTGGTTCCAGATAAGTCTCAGTGGAAATGGCATAGCCTGAGAAAGATGGCCAAAGGGCATATCTTGCAAAAATCCAGATCAGCTCTGGTATTTTGCTATTCTGGAGTTAAGACCTGCACTGAAGTTGAGTCTATTGGATTGTATAACTAGCGTATACAATAGACCCATCTTCAGCACAGATCCAAACACCGGAATAGCTAAATATCAGAGATGATAGATAGACCCCTGAGCTTATAACAAAGAATAGACCTTTCATCCTTATGATTCACGTATGCTCTTAATCTTGAATATCAAAAACTCCCTAAATCTGTGCTATATGATGCTACATGGTGATAGCACTGTGAGGCATAACTGATAACAAATATATATCAGTAAAGCCAAAATGTACAAATTTGGAATGTTCTTATTATGTAGTTTTCTCAAGTTAGCATGCTTGAATGTTCTTTAGGAATGAGCCAAAACATGTGTCTCACAAAACTAGTAAGAAATGCATGAGAACTTTCATATTGGCTCAGTGATATGAATGTTACATTGTGAGAATCTTTTATTGAGTGAGAGACTGTGAAGCAATTTAAGGAATAAATTAATATCACAAGTAAAATTCTGTCATTTAACATTTTACCAAATATTGATGTTATGTGAAATTCAAAAATACAATTTTTACACATGGTAAATGAAAACTCCAGTTGTTAAGAATTTATTATGATACTATAGAAGATATCCATTGTAATATACTTACAATGAATTCTAAAGATATAAATTCTAAAATTATAAATATATAGAATACATATCTCTTTTTGACTTTCAAATATTGAAAAAAATACATTCAATAAATATATACAGAGCTGGAAAGGAAACAAAAAATTGGGTGAAGACTGGACTACCCATTCTTTAGGAACTTAAAGAAGCAGGGAAACCCCTCCAAACACATGGCATTTCCAAATCCAGTAAGAACATAAAGAAATATTAAAGGAACAGACTGAGTGACTGAATGGACCTATGTACCATTTGTCTCAAGAGAACCCGAATGAGGACAGCTTGGCATAAACTGACATCTCAGCATAAGCTCTATTGAAAGATGGTGTCAAAATTTGTGCTAGGGCACAGATAAATAATCCTGTTATGATTTTTTTTTTTAAATGCACACTGGCCAAAGTAAGTCCTTGGCCAAGCCCAGAGTCGAAGTCAGAAAGTGAAAATGTTACATGGAAAAACATGAGATATAGGGAGGCTGAAGAATTGGGACCAACTTTGAATTTTACCATGGATGGTCTTTTATGACTTTCTTATTCATTTATAATGGATAAGGAACTCAATAGATTTTCTCTTATCTCTGCACTTCAGATTTAGACATTTAAATTCACTTCAGTCATCTCATACTCCTGACAAGGATCAAAGGTATGAACACATTCCTTTGAGGCCCGGCAGGTGACTGGAAAGTGTGTAGTGGTCTAATGGTAAGCACTCAAATTCAGCCCAAATAAATTCCCTCCAACCTGCTGAATTAATCTGCCAGGCCACTTCTTCAGCCTTGGTCATATGCCTTCTCCAGTCACATTTATGTCTGATATTTTTAAGTCTATCAGCTAAGAATAATTCTATTCCCAACATGATAGAACTGTAAAGAGAGCTAAAATACCCTGATTTCATGGAACAGATAGTAACTACTCAACTTCTGGAGTTAGTTATGTTCCCTGATGGATTGGGAGTTTGTAAGGAGGCTTGGTTAACCTGAGTAGACAACATCTTAACCGAGTGGTCGTTTGATGATTACAAGAATTAAAAAAAAAAAAAAAAAAATTGAAGGCAAAGCAGAGTGAAAATATAGACAAGCGTTAAATATTAAATCCTTCATTCTGAACTGGCAGTGCTTGATACCGGGGGTGAGGGGGCAGCGTTGGGGGGAAGCACTGACCCAGGGAGATACTGAGCAGATTTTTTTCCTTATCCTTTCTCTGAAGCTCACAAAAAGTAAGTGGTGCTTGATTTTCCCAGTTTTTGATATTGGAGCATTGATAATTGCTTCTATCTGCAACATTGGTTTGAGCAATAAAGGAAAGCACTGTATAAACATTTTTCTACAACATTTACTAATTTCTGTAAGATTATTTTAGATTCCACTGAATAACAACTGTTGCTAATCCTGTATCATTAAGTGATATGTAATGTGTACTTTTTTAAAATTAGAAAACATACTATACCTACTTTTACTTTATGATGGTCCTTTATTTTATTTCAAGTGAATTTGAACAATGTACCAACTATCTTGAAAAGCTGCTCCTTCTCTTTCCAATTCTTCACCTTTCCCATTAAATTCTCCGAAATAATAGTTCTAGCCAATTAATTTGTCTGGTTGGCCTAACATTGTGTGTTGTTTAGTGGAAACAGTCCTTCAACCTAAATTATTTAAGCATATATATATTTTTAAATTCTATACTAAAGACTGGTCTCTGAGAACTCCAGGTTTGTCTTCAGCCAGTTAATTTAGCTTTGCCCATAAGGATTTCCAGATGCATAAGACACTTAAGAATACTGTGTTTTAACATCATATAGACCACTGTAGTAGGTCTATGCCAAGACCTAGATTAAAGGGGGAAACTGCTGCTTATCCGAGATAACTGGATGCTCTTAAAAGTGTTGTCTATCTTTGCATTGCTGGCTCAAGAACATTTAAAGGTCTTTTATCACCTTTCTTACTTTCTGAAATGCTAAATTAATCTGCAGACTAGTTAATAGTATGGATTTATAGAGTAATATTATAGATGCATTAATACATTAAGACTACAAATATTTTGTTAAATCTCAATGGATTAAATGAAGAGCTTGTCAACTTTATATATATCCAAAAAGTTAAAAACAGCATACCTATGAAAGGTGAAAACACGTTTTAAAAGTCAATAAATTTTGAATCGAATAAAATGTTTTCGAGTTGAATAAAATTATTAGATAAACAAGAGATAAAATCATCACATTATGGAGGTGCCTAAAAAGGAAGATTATGGTGTTATTCCAAAGGGATATGGCTGCCAGAATGGTGTCAGGATAAACACAGAACAATTAAAATAAATATCCCCAAGGAGTCTTATCTCACAGGAATGGAGAGGATCATTCTAACCATCTCATTTCATAATAATTGAGCTAAGGAAAAGTAAGCTAACTTCTCTGATTTTTTAATTGCAAACACAATTTTTCTCCCATAAAAATATTGATACTTACACTAATATAAACCTTAGTTAGCAATTATTTTCTAGACCATATAATAATAAATACCAACAGGAAAAAATTTTTAACGTTAAGATTTGCCGCCTTAAACCAATATTTTTTTTTCTTTTAAAGTCATCTCATCTCTATCATATCATCCAATTAAAGCTCACGGGATTTGTTTTAAGTGGTTTTAGAACTTCAGTTCAAGTGAGCCCCAAAGCAAGATTTATCTGTTTTTCTTCATCTAGTATTGCATGTTATCTTCCTTGTTTTCCTTGGAAATGTTTGAGTTTTTGTTTAAAAGAAAGATATACAAGTTCAGAGTGGGTCCAACTACTCATGTCATTTGTATGAGATGGTCCTTTCATTGTGTTAAAGATTTCACATTTTGGGATTTATGTTTAAGAGTTTGCGGTTGCCTTCCTTTTACTTTTTGGGTCAAAGCCTAGTCTAAATGTATTACTAGGACTTCTAATATTCCAAATCATGTATCTTAGTGGAATTATTGTTCCAAGATGTGATCTCCTTTCAAGGAGGAGAATCCACTAAGACCAATGACCGAATGTTTGGGACCAATTTATGGCCTGGTTTATCCCATAAACCTGTTGGAATAAAAGATGGCTGGAAATCAGTGTAGTGTCCATAATCTTTACTAGCCATATTGGGAATCTGTAACTCTTGGCTGTTTTTTTTGTATGTTTATTTAAAAATTTATTATTTGGTTAATTCAAAAGCTCTTCTCAAGTTTTTATTTCTC